AAGTTAGACTAGAACCTCAATTTGATTGCTGTCACCCATTTTGGGTGTCAATGTAACCTTACTAGATAGAGAGAGTATCAAACTACTCCGGTACTATTTTTTTTTTTACACTATACTTCCTATAAAAGAACATTAACATTTTTCTTATGTAAATATTTTAGAATCTCTCAATTCCTTTTAGAGAAATGGATGTACATTGGCACACTATTTCTTTCTTCGAAACAAACTTCAACTCTACATATTAAAGAGAGTACTATTAAATACTTTTTCTTAAATTTTACATAAGTTAAAGAATGAAATAATTAGAAAGTACAGAGTAAACATTATACTGTATCCTCCTTGAAACACTAAAATTCCAATAAAATACATAGCAGTATCAAATTACTCCGTCTTCAAGAAACATCTATAATTAGAGCAATTGAAAAATACAGTAATAAAAAAATAAACGAATACAGCAATGTTTAATTCATGATGACAAGTAAAAAACAACAATCACGAGTGACCAATCTTCTGTAGCTCTACTGCTTAAGATCATCAATTTGCCATTCTGGGGGTGCCTCCACTATCAAATTAGACTCCTCCCAATGACTTCACGTTAGGGACAAAAAAGCTCATGCCAAGAATACTCCTGCACTTGCAATTAAGCTTTTTTTTTTCCTTTTGGCAACTGGAAATTTTTCTGTACCAAACCAAGCCCAACTCCTTAAATGAACCTCAAACAAGGCCAAACCAAACACATCATCAAGTATATCCCACTCGAGAGTAGGGTTTGGGGTGGGGGGGGGGGCTGTAAGCAGACAGATCTCAACTCGAATATAAGGACTAATGAATGGAGAGACTGTTTTTGAGCTGACAAAATGTGACCCGTAGCATGATAAAGGACAGGACACGCGCACACACACAAGGCTTCTGATGATAGTCTTTTACAACACGAATATTAATTCCAAGAGAAACTTGAGAAGAACCAAAGGAACGCACAGAAGAATCACCAAAAAATAAGTTGGTAATGTGGGCGGGAGAGTTCAAGAAGCTGGTAACACCCCTATGACTCTATGAGTGCCTCATTGGCAGTTGATCAGGTTATTTGTATCTCTGTGTAAGTAAAACAGTGGCTATGACATTTGGCTTACAATGATGGCACTAAACCAAGATGGTTGACGATCATAACTTACTCCCTGTCCATGTGCTTTGGCATTGGAGCATCAGGTAGGCTCTTCAACACCTGTAACAAAG